GCCCTCAGAATGGGACTCATATTCACCACCTCCGCCAGCAGCCAGCAGAGGACTCGACACAGAGGTGCTAGTAGTACTTGTAAGTGAAACTAACTACTTCTGTTTATCCATTGCAGTAGACAGACTGTAAAAAAAGTCCCAATGATCTGCCCTTTCCTATACCCATGCCCATTGCAATGTGACTTCGAAGCTCTGCCCATCAAAGGATGGAGACTCTTCATCACCTCTAGAATCTGGGCTGAACATGTGATTTGCCTTGGCCAACAGAATGCTAGAATATGGGCTGGCCATGTGATTTGCCTTGGCCAACAGAATGCTAGAATATGGGCTTGCCATGTGATTTGCCTTGGCCAACAGAATGCTAGAATATGGGCTGGCCATGTGATTTGCCTTGGCCAACAGAATGCTAGAATATGGGCTGGCCATGTGATTTGCCTTGGCCAACAGAATGCTAGAATATGGGCTGGCCATGTGATTTGCCTTGGCCAACAGAATGCTAGAATATGGGCTGGCCATGTGATTTGCCTTGGCCAACAGAATGCTAGAATATGGGCTGGCCATGTGATTTGCCTTGGCCAACAGAATGCTAGAATCTGGGCTGGCCATGTGATTTGCCTTGGCCAACAGAATGTTGCAGAAGTGACATCAGGCCAGTTCTGCAGCTGGGTCTTAGCAAGCTTTCACTTCCTCTTGCAGAACCCTGCAAGCTCCCATGCAAAGAAGTCCAGGCTAGCCTGTTGGCCGACACAAGACCAGGGTCTAGTCACCTCCATCACCCCTGCCAACAGCTAGTCAACCACAGCACATGCAAGTGAGGCTATCCTAGACCAGCCAGCTCTACCCAACCCAACACCTTGCATGAGCAGGCCCAGCTGGGATTACACAAGCCTGGCTCAGATCGGTAAAACCACCCAGCTGACCTCTGAGCCAAAGGAAAAAGCAATCATTGTTATATGCTCTTGAGCTTACATTGCTGTTTGTTATGCAGCATTCACTGTGCCGATACATAACTGATGCATCCATTGAATCGATTTTTCTCTCACGCATGGCACTGGGCATCACACATCGCCAATTCAGGTCCCTCGTGGAAACTGTCACCCAACCAAAGGAATCAGAATAGCAGGATCTCTTTGAGACAGGTCAAAGCACAAATCCTAAGGCTGCCTCTGATGGAGCACGTGGAAAGTGACCCCCCAGCTGACCACGTTACCTGCCATCACAGGTGAGGCAGAAGAGCCATGCCACAGGCACTTCCAGAAAATCTCACAGTCTGGCAAAGACCTTGCCCAGAAAGCTGAATTCCATCTGGGGAATAAAGCCAGACACATCACTCTTTTGGACAAGCAATTTTTTTTGCATAATTGACAATTCTTGGCATATTCTCCCCTTCTCTATGCACAGCCTTCCTTTTATGCCACTCATGCATGTACCAGACACTCTGAGGTGACTTCCCTGAAAAGTGAACGTCAAAGAGACCTCTGGCTCCCTACCCTTAAATATTCTACTTGTTATAAATTCCCTGAGGAGTCTTCTTAGCTCCAAATATCAAGGGAATTGGAAGGGGGAGGAAGGGGGAAGAAAACACGTTCTCAGAGCAGTTCTTTGTACTTGAGATTCTTTGGTTTGTATTAAAATATTCTCATCTTCCCATAATTTATGGGCACTCCTGGAACTAAGAGGGTTCGTTTTGTCCCTGATCCTCCATTCTAGAAATAAAACTAACTGTTAGTGTCAGAGTGAGTATCTCTGGGAGGGAGGGGGATTGGGACAGAAACTTTCAGAGCATCCAATTTGAGTGTTCAGGGAAAGACTCTACAGACTCATTTCCTGGCCCCACTTGCCAGGGACTGAGACCCAGCATCAGGCACCTCCCCATCCATGATCTCATTTGATTTTCAGAACAGTCCTGCCAGGGTAATATTCTAGTCACTATCATGTTCCTTTCTGAGAAGAGGAAAGTAAGAGTCCTAGGGATGAGATGCCTTCTTCAGAGAGCAGAGCTGGCTTAACATTGGTCTAGAATTTAAATCCAGGTGCAGATGACATCCCAATGCTCTTACCAGCTAAGCATCCAGAGAAGGCGTGATCAGGGAAGGATACCTAGAAGAGGCAGGACTTAACCTGAGTCTCAGAGCTCAAGAGTCCCAGCTAGCTATACTTTCTAGGGTAAGAAGTACAGTCTATCTTATCCACTTAGTTCTCCATAAGACCCTGAAGGGGGCAAAATCCCTGCTGCATAGATCCTTTTAAAAATGCATGGATGCCATTTTTTCTTACATAAAAATCTCTGCTGCATTTTCCTGTGCCAGCTGAGTAAAATTTACTGTCTAGGGTGTGCCATTCAAGGATCTTGTTAATTTGTCTCATTCTACCTTTTTAGCTTTCCATCCCACTACAACCCCTACCGCCCACTCATACACACACAGATTTATGCTTTCAGATACCCCACGTTAGTCAAATAACACTTCACCTCTGGATACATCATTTCTCTCCTACATCATTCATGTTATTCCCACTGCCTACAATGTCCATCCCTGCCTAATGAACTCCTACTCAATCCTCAGAGCCCAAGTCAAATGGCCTTTCAGCTGGGAAGCCTCCCCTTCACCCCTTCACTGACATAGTTTGTTGTACACATATCCGGTCAACTAGCACAGCTCCAATTGACCCATGGCACCATGTTTGTCATGGAGACAGTGAACCTTGAAGATGAGAGCCCAAGTTTTATTTATCTTTGAATCTTAGCATAGGGCCTGGCCTTTTGCCCAGAGATCAGTCGTTCTAAATGCTTGTTGGATGATTAAATGAAGGAGTGAATGAATGGATACATTTATTGTAGACTTAGTCCATTTGCTGTCCACTGGATGAACCTAAGCCTCTGTGGTATCTCCGTGCTCAATAGCCACCTTTGATGGAGTGCACAGAAACTCACACTTCTCACTTGACACTGCTTGTTTTCAGGGGGAGGATTAAAAACAGACAAACTGAAACAAGGCCCAGCAGGTGGGCCAACCCCTCGATGGCCCCACTGAGGAAACTAGACCTGTGGCATCTCTGAGCAGCTCTCTGCGTCTGCCTCTTTTTCTCACTTGTTCCAAGCCCCAGATAAATCTTTTTTTGGCAGGTGGCCCATCTCAGCTAATATGAGTAGGAATTGTGGGTTGTCAGTCTCAGGGCCCAGCTGAGGAGCTGAGGCTGGTGAGAGTCAGGGAATGTTTGACCAATGGCAGTTTGGGTGTCAGGCAAGATGCACGCATCTTTCTTCCGAGCTGTCCAGGGCTGGGGAGTCTTGTGGAAATAAGATGCTTGTGCCTAGGAGGCCTCAATTCAGTCCCAATTTTGTCACTCCTTCCTTGGGGACCACAGCTAAGCCTCCTGACCTCTGGGCCTCAGCTTTTCCACCCATAAAATGGGGTGAAGGAGGAACAAGCTACTCCATGGTAGCCTCTATCTCATAACAAGGGAAGTCTAGAGACCACTGTCAGACACAAGGAAACTGTGGCCCAGAGAGGTGAGGTGACTTGCTCAAGGCCACACTGCCCAGAATTGCAAAGGCAGAGATCTGTTCCAGGTCTTGTGACTCCAGAGCACACCAATTCCCAAGTTGCATCCCAGCTGGAGGAACATGGCACAGACGTATGAATCTCAGCATTTACAACGCCACTGGCCCCTGGGAACCACAGCCACCTCGGGAAGTCAGAGCAGGCCCATTCATTTTTGTTTTTTTTTTGGCATATTTAATGTATTTATTTGTATGTGTGTTTTTTTATTTCTTTAAAAACTTTTAAGGTTTATTTATTTTTAAAATCACTTCATTGAGACATGACTGACACATAAAAACTTGCACCTATTTAATTTTACAACTAGATTCGTTTGGGAATAAGTATACACTGGTGAAACCATCACCGCCATCAAGGCCTTAGGTATATCCATCATCTCCTGAAATTTCCTCCTGTGTCATTTATATTATCCAGAGCAGTTAACTTATGATCTACCCTCTTAGCAAATTTTAAGTATACAATACAATATTGTTAGCTATAGGCACTCTGCTGTAGTATTCAGCTAGCACCTGTCTATAGGCTCTCTGCTGTATAATAGGTCTCCAGATAAGAGGTTAATATCCAAAATAAATAAGAAATTCATACAACTTAGTAGCAAAAAGGGACAAATAACCCAATTATAAAATAGGCAAAGGACCTGAAACAGACATTTCTTCTAAGACAACATACAAATGGCCATCTACTTTCTTTGAGATGGAATTTCAGTCTTGTTCCCCAGGCTGGAGTACAACGGTGCTATCTCAGCTCACTGCAGCCTCTGCTTCCCGTGTTCAAGAGATGCTCCTGTCTCAGCCTCCCGAGTATCTGGGATTACAGACACCTGCCACCATGCCCACCTGACTTTTTTTTCCATATTTTTAGTAGAGACAGGGTTTTGCCATGTTGGTCAGGCTGGTCTCGAACTCCTGACCTCATGTGATCCGCCTGCCTCGGCCTCCCAAAGTGTTGGAATTATAGGCATGAGCCACTGCACCAGGCTTGGCCATCTACTTTCCACAGGCATGGTTAGAAGACTCCAGGCAGCCTCTTCCTGTGGCTTTGAGCTCAGGGGAGTGAATGGAAGGGGCCAGGATTAAGGATGGAAGTTAACCACTGACCAGGCTTAGCGGTTAAGAATTGCAACGTGGCATCAGGGGCCCTGGAGATGATACACTGGCTCTGACATGTTACACACAATATGATTTGAGGCAGTATTTCCCGTCTCTGAGCCTCGGTTCTCTCAACTGCAAAATAGGGGGGTGGTAATATTTCCTTCCAAGGGCTGGTGTGATCCTTAATAAGACAGGTCCTGGACCACAGCCCAGAGGTGATTCTGACACGTAAGAAGCAATGTGCTATTACAATATTACTTCTTAGCTAGTGACACAGCTATAAGGTATCACAAAGAGGAAAAGGAGAAAGAGAGGAAGAGAGAATGTGAGAAACACTCTTTTGCTTTACCTTCCGAGCACATGTCCTCATTTATAGAGCTGCACTGTCTGATACAGTAGCTGTAAGCTACGGTAGCTTCTGAGCGCCCGAAAGGTAGCTCACCGGAAGGGAGCTGTGCTATAAGTTCCAGTGTAAAACATCCTTAGAATGAAAAAAAAAAAACGGAAACATCACATTCATCATCGTTCCTATTGATTACATATTGAAATGATAATTTTGATGTATTGGTTACATTAAATACATTATTAAAATTCATTTCACCTGTTACTTGTCAAGCTTTTTTAATGAAGCTGCTAGAATTTTTTTTAAATTTTATACAGAGAGAGTACAAGTGCCGATTTCTTACATACGTATATTGCATAGTGGTGATGTCTGGGCTTTTGGTGTACCCCTCACCCAAATGGTGAGCATTAAATAGAAAATTTAATTAATAAAAGAATTAACAACAAAAATAGAAAAGCTTAAATTACAGATGTGGCTTTCATTACATTTGTATTGGACAGCACTGCTCTAGAAAAATAAAAAAATATACATGTCTACCTTTTAGAGCTCGGATTCTGAGTTCAGCTACTTTTTGGCTGTGTGAACTAAGAAGAGATGCTTGCCCTCCCTGAGCCTCAGTGTTCCCTATCTGTAAAGTGGAGATCTTTCTTTGAGAAGATGTAATGAGAGCCCGATCACTACGTTGGCATCATATAGATCATATAGTACATATTTGATATACACGAGCCTCTTTTATTCATGGCCGGTTACCTGCTGTGTCCTGGGACAACTCCTGCATCAGCCGAAGGCTCAGAAGGGATTGACTGGCTGAGGTGTTCAAGCTTTCTACCTGGGATCTCCACGGGACATGAGCCTCAGGCATGATCTCAGATAGATGCCTAGAACTGTGGCTGCAGCCTCTCAGACTGGTTCCTGGAGCAAGAGGAGGCATTCTCAGATGTGATCAATTGCAAAATACAAATCAAGCTTTTTCCCAACCCTGTGTGCACGCCCTGACTGGACTCCCAGCTTTTCAGGACTCCCTGTGTCTCCTGCCCAGTGTTCACACCTTTATCATAAAGCTACAGAAATAAGAAGGCAGCAGGAGAGGAGTGAGAGAAAACCCTAGGCCTGCCCTTCCCTCCCTGGTTTCCACTCCTGTCTTTCTGCAGGTTGCAGGGCTCAGAACAGGTGAGGACACCCTGCTGGGAGAAGTTTCCCTTCCCCATCCTAGCTTGGTTGTCAGGGCTGCCCTCTCTGGCCTGCGAGAAGCCAGGCATTTAATTGAATAGAACCATACAAGGTGGCTGCTATCTTTGCATTCCTGAGAGCTGAGGACACCTGCTGTCCATCCTGCCAGGGAGATGAGGCCACTGAATGTTCCCAGGCAGAATAGAAGTTTGTGACTGTCTAGTGGACAGATTTTCCCACATTTTCAAATAGGAGGCAGAAGGGTAGGGAAATTGTGACAGAGCCCCAGTTCCTCTCTATCTCTAGGTTCCCACTGAAAACATCTCCACCTCCTTCCTTCTAATCTAGATCAAGTTGTACGGTCCTGGTTCCAGCCCTTCGCCCAACTCACTGTGTGCCCTGTGTGATCCTGAGAGCTGTTTTTCCAGTTCTTCTCTCTGGGATTCTGTAATGTTTAAAAAACACTTCATGGTACTTGAGACAGAATGAGGAGTTTGAATGAGGCACGCACTAACATTTACCAGCTGTTAATTTTGTGTAAGTGGCCATATACACCTCCCCAAGCCTCAATGTTCCCATATGAGAGATGGGGATATTAAAAGTATCTTCCTTACAAAGTGATTTAATTTAAGTGTTTTTCTATTTGTTTGTTTGTTGTTGTTGTTTTGGTGTGGAGGGGGACAGAGCCTCACTCCGTTTCCCAGGCTGGAGTGCAATGGCGTGATTTCAGCTCACTGCAACCTCTGCCTCCTGCTTTCAAGTGAGTCTCCTACCTCAGCCTCCTGAGTAGCTGGGATTATAGGCATGCACCACCACACCTGGCTAATTTTTTGTATTTTTTAGTGACTACACAGTAGTCACTATGTAGACCAGGCTGGTCTCAAACTCCTGACCTCAGGTGATCCGCCCACCTCAGCCTCCCAAAGTGCTGGGATTACAGGCATGAGCCACCGCGCCTGGCCAAATGGTATTTTTTACTAATGTGCTAAGCGCAGGGTCTGACATTCAGCAAATGTTCATTAAATGGTTATTGTCAGTGGGATGCTAGAAAAACAGCTCTCAGGAGTGGGGAGGAGTACTGATTTGTAGCGCTTGCCACTTTCTGTGGTGTAAGTACTTTCACTATAACTTATTTCAAGCCAATAGCATAACTTGCTTCCAAAACTTCTGAATATTTAACAGTGGGCCAGTAGTCAGCTCCGGCAATGCAAGGCAGTTATTATTCTGCTAATACTGATGCTACTCAACCAAGCATCTCCGTGTGTTTGTTACTTTCTGTTTTTCCCTTATGTGGCAAAATTACATATGATTTCACTTCAACATTAGATTTTGCAAATTGAAACTAGACTGAAAGCCATCAAAGCAAATGATCGGTAAGATCTCTTCTAGGCTGGCTGTGTACAGTGGCTCATGCCTGTAATCCTAGCACTTTGGGAGGCCACAGCGGGTGGATCATGAGGTCAAGAGATTGAGCATCCTGACCAACATGGTGAAACCCTGTCTCTACTAAAAATACAAAAATTAGCTGGGCGTGTTGGCATGCGCCTATAGTCCCAGCTACTCAGGAGGCTGAGGCAGGAGAATTGCTTGAATCCGGGAGGCGGAGGTTGCGGTGAGCCGAGATCACGCCACTGCACTCCAGCCTGGCACCTGGCAACAGAGCAAGACTCTGTCTCAAAAAAAAAAAAAGATATCTTCCAGGTCTAAAGAACATCCCAGGAGTTCTATATTCAAGCACTCCCCTCTTAGAGACAATGCCCTAGACTCCCTGCCAGGCACAGAATCCTACCCCATGCCCTTTTCCCTCATAGCCCAACACTGGACAAGTCAGAAAATCCACCCCAAAAGAGGGGCACGAAAGGATTAAGAAACAGAATTTTTCCCGGATGGATTCTAGCTGTGTGGGCTCAGACAAGTAGCCCAGCCTCTCTGAGCTTGTTTCCTCAACTGGCTCAGAGACCTGTTGTGAGGGGTTAACGAGAAAATTTATATAAAATGCCCATCAGCAAGTAATGCCCAGTAAAGATATCTATTGTTTAAAATATTACTATTAATACAACCACCAAGTCTGGGGCCCTTGTTCCTCTGCGGAGGGTCTGTGGGGGCCCCCAGGCCTCCTATAGGTTCTGCAAGTAGCAGCAGCACAGAGCTGGACCCAGGATCAGAGCCTCCCCATCTGCCATCCCCCCACCCCCAGTCATTTCGCTTCCACCCTCATTGTTCAGGACTAATTTATTTATTTCCTTCTGAATCCTCAAAGTCTATCAAGCTGTGGAGTGGTTGGATGGATTTTTTAATTAATTGAAGCAGAATCGATGAAAAAGTCATTGTTTTGGCTCTGGCTGGGTGGGGAGCTCAGAGTGGGAAATAAATGGATGGCTTTGTCGGGGGAGGGGCTGCCTTATCGAGCCGTCATTGGGCTGTGGGTACTGAAACCAGGAAGGCTTAGCACACGTCCTGGGCAGCAGGATGGAGAAATGAAAAGTGACCAGCACACTCCTACTCCTCACAGTCCAAGAGATCCGAGTTCAGGCCACCCCACCCCTCTTAGCATCTGTGTGGGGCTGGACCAGTCCGCGTTGGTGCCTCTCTGAGTCTCTGTTGCCTTGGGGGATTGCTGTAAGGATTAAATTCTGATACATGCTACATGATGAATGAATCTTGAAGACATGGTGCTAAGGGAAAGATGCCAGACACCAAAGTACAAATACTGATGACCCCACTTATAGGCAGTACCTAGGATAGGCAAATTCAGAGAGAAAGTGGAATAGAGCAGCAATACCTGGTTGGGTGAAACCTTTTTGTTTCATGGAAGATAATTTTTCCACATGGGCAGGGTAGGGGTGCAGAAAGCTTTCAGGATGAACCGGTTCCACCTCAGATCATCAGGCATTAGGTTCTCATAAAAAATATACAACCTAGTTCCTTCATATGCACAATTCACAATAGGGCTGGTGCTCCTATGAGAGGCTAATGCCACCACTGATCAGACAGGAGGCAAAGTTGAGGCAGTAAGCTCACTAACTGCCACTCACCTCCTGCTGTGCAGCCCAGTTCCTAGCAGGCCACCAACCAGTGCCCGTCCTTGGCCTGGGGGTTAGGGACCTCTGGAATCGAGGGCACTAGAGGCTATGGACTTACCATTTTAAAAGGGACAGAGTTTCTGTTTCGGACAATTAAATATTCTGGAAATGGATAGGTGATGTTTGCATGACATTTTGCATGTCCCTAATGTCATTGAACTGTATGTCTAAAAATGGTCAAAATGATACATTTTATGTTGCGTATATTTTACCAGAACAAAAAAATAAATAAATAAGGTATGGTATGCACTTAGCACTGCCTGGCTCCTAGTAGGTGCTCACTAGATATACATATATTATTATCATTATTGTTATTACTATTATTTTTTAAATTACTGGGGTGAAGTATCTCAGATGTGATAGACTACAAACTATGACCAAAAATTATTATCATCCTATATGCAATCCTCTTCGCAATGTGACTTTGTGACTCCTTTCATCAAAAGGTAGGTTCTCAGCACTTCCATTTATGGGTGTCCACCCAAAGGAAAATAGATCATCATACCAAAAAGACTTGTATGCTCATTGCCGTAATATTCATAATAGCAAAGGCATCAAATCAACCCACATGCCCACCAACAGTGGATCGGATTAAAAAACACATAGCACGTATACACCATGGAATACTACGCAGCCATAAAAAATGAAATCATGTACTTTGCAGCAACACGACACAGCTGGAGGCCATTATTCTAAGCTAAACATCGGGTACTCATGGGCTAAAGATGGCAACAATAGACATTAGGGACTACTAGGCAGAGGGAGTGAAGGGGTGGGGACAAGGGCGAAAGAACTACCTATTGGGCACTATGCTCACTCCCTGGGGACAGTATACTCCTATAACAAACCTGCACATGTGCTTCCTCTATCTAAAATAAAAGCTAAAAGACAGAACTGTGGAAAGACAGGAAACAGGTCTGAAGTTCATACTCTCAGGATACAGATGGGAAAACTGAGGGCCTCAGAAAGGACGTGTCAGAGACTGAGTTTAAGGCAGAGTTGGGGGCCCAGGTATCCCAAATAAGAATCCATTCTTCTTCCTAATTTTTGTGATATTTTCCCTTTGTTCACAAAAAGCAAAGTAGTAAAGTAGATATCATGTTTTCCATGTTAATGAAGAGGAAGCTGAGCTCAGAGAAGGTGAATTGACTTGCCCAAGGTCACACAGCCAGGAAGAGGCAGAGCCCCTTGAATGTGGGCTTGGCCAGTGTTCCTGTTGGCCACTGTAACAAATGGCCACAAACTTGGTGGCTGAAAACGACACAAATGTATTCTTATTTCTGAAGCTCAGAAGTTCAAAATGAGTCAAGGACTAAAGTCAAGGTGTTAGCAGAGTTCTCCTTCTCGAGGTTCTAGGGTATGGATCTGTTTCCTTGCCTTTTTCCGTTTGTGGGAGCTACCTGTATTCCTTGGCTTGTGGCCTCTTTTTCCATCTTCAAAGCCCACGGGTCTAGTCTCTGCTTTCATCATCCTTTCACCTTCTCCTCTTCTGTAGTATGCCTCTGCCTGCTTCTTATACAGACACTTGTTATACTATCAATGGGCCCACCATAGTTCAGGATAGTCTTCCCATTTTAAGATTTTGAAACACATCTTCAAAGTTGCTTTTGCCATCAAAGGTAACACATTCACAGATTCCGAGGATTAGGACATGAACATCTGCAGAGTGTGGGATGGGAGTGCATTATTCAGGCTATGACAATCAATGAGATTTTAACCAATGTGACAGAGGGAGAAGCTCGAGAGGTCTTTGCCAAGGAACCTGCCCTCTTTTTCTGGGCTTGGAACCCTTCCACCACCAAGAGTGCAAGCCCATGCTAGCCTACTGGATAATGAGAGACATGTAGCTCAGTCACACCTGCAATCTCAGTCAACAGCCAGCCAACCCCAGTGGTGGAACCACACACTGTCCAGCAACTGATGGCCAACTCTTGTGTGAGCCCAGGACCAGCAGAACCACCTCCCAACTGAGCCCAGCTCAACTTGACAGACCACAGATTCCCAAGTAAAAGAAGTTGTTCTTGGTTTAAGCCATGGAGGAGTTTCGTGTGGTTTGTTACACAGCAAAAACTAAGTGAATCACTAGAGGACCACTGAGAAGCAGAGGGAAGGTAATATTTATTAAACACCAACTGTAATACATGGCACATTTCTCATGTGATCTCATTGAACACACAAATTCCTCACAGGAAGGTATTAATTACACCCATACTATGGGTGAGAAAAACTGAGGCTCAGAGAGGGTCTTAAGCAATTAGCTTAAGACCACCCGGCTAGGAGTTTGCAGAACCAGATGCCTGACTCCAAAGCCCTGAGCCTTCCAAGAGTCTCATCCTGCTCTATAACCATGCTAAGTCATCAT